TTCAGCAATGAATTCTTGTTGATTCAAATTTTGAGCCATGACGTTTTCAGGGGGATTATTATCTTCGAGGTTTTGTTCGTCAGGATTTATTACAAACCGAGCAGGTCTAAGAATTTGATTAGGATTTGGATTGTGTTCCTCCATAAATCAAAACATTGCAATGATCTGATTCATATCCTTCATCGAAATTCAACAATAAATACTGCAAGTTATTTTGGATTTCTCGTAAATGAGACCAAAAATCACTTCGTTTTACTGTGAAGTTCTGACGAATTCTCTCTTTGATAATACGACTTCTAATATCCCGATAATGATTTTCAGCTACAAACTCTCTGAGAAAATGAATGGTTTCGTCATAAGATAATTCTAACAGATTTACGTCATTAATAAACTCAATTAAATCTTGCGTGATTAATGTAGGTTTATTCAACCAACTCATTTCTTCAAGACGAAGCTTGATTCCTTGGCTAACCCGATCGCTATACTCATTCGCGACTAAAAAGTCCCAAATAAAATGAGATGCGTCAGATAAGATTTTAAAAATAAATTTTAGCACAGAAAAAAATATAGAAAATTCACTTCAAAAATAAAATGGGGGGAATGGTCAGAATATTATCGATCGCTATACTCATTCGCGACTAAAAAGTCCCAAATCAAATGAGATGCGTCAGATAAGATTTCAAAAATAAATTTTAACACAGAAAAAAATATAGAAAATTCACTTCAAAAATAAAATGGGGGGAATGGTCAGAATATTATCGATCATTACAAATTAACTCACAGCAGGAAGGCGATGATCCTCATCTTCGAAGCGGGCAAGTGTGAAAATCGAGATAATCGGAGTTGGAATCTCGAATCTGGAGTCCGGAGGGTGTGCTGATCAGTTTGTCCCAACGGTGTCCCAAGTATTCGTCCACGAACCCAATGGATTTCCAGGGGATGCTCGGGGCAGGAACAGGTTTGAGCTGGATCTTGGCTTCAGGAAGATGTCTTAACGGCAAGCGAAACCACAGGAAAGACCAGGCACGATGACGCTTCAGACCAGATTCAAAGATGGCAAAATCTCCGTCACGCTTGTAATTCTCTAGGATAGACTTAGAGAGTCTAGGAGCACCAGAGTAAGAAAATGCTTCCAAATAGTCAATGTAGACAATGACACGATCTTGAGTGCGACGTATACTTCAATCGGCCAATCTTGACGAAATTGTAGATAATGTTCGTAGATAATCGATAATAACTTCTGTTCTTCCTTCTCGTTTGCGTAGATGAAACAACGTTCCGTCTTGGCTACAGGAAGATCGGAACCGTAGCGAGGAAAAATGTCAACGGACATAGGCACGGTTATTTTCAGGAGCGATAAGTCGTTTTTTTTCTTTTCCACGAAAATACGATTTACGTGAAAAATCCTAGCACGAGCGCCAGTTAAGTTTTGCTAATAAAATAGCGGAGTGGCAAAACTGCGCCAGAGCGTATGCTCAACAAAAAATAATAAAATCAGAGGTACGAAACACAGTGACGTTTATTAGATTTCAAAAGTAAGAAATACAACCACACATTAAACGGGTTAAAACACACAGAGTAACGGCAGAGGGAACCGGGGCCATGAGACTACGATTGAATATGGAAAGGTCCGGGTGTCGTTTTATAATGACATCTCATCTAGGTCGATTGGCATAAATTGGGAGGAAAGGTCAATCCAATATTCGCAGTTGGCGAAGACAATGCTTAATTAATAAGCGGCAATTAAGATGCGAGCGATACTATGCTTTCGTCTATCAATATTTGGAAACCAAATATACAGGGTGGGCCAGAAGTTCCAGGACGGTCGGCTAACTTTTTAACGGTTCGAGATAGAAAAATGAAACTTTGGAAATGTTCCTATCTCAAAGGGGACCATCTTTTGGGGGAGTCAAAAATTTGGTCCCCCCTAAGAAAGGGGGCGGGGGGCCCCCAACTTTTTTTTTCAAATGGCAACCCCTATCTTGTGATACCTCATTTGAAAGACCATAAAAACTCAGAATTTTGGCGCAAACCACAGATCAATATCTTAATTTTTGACCGAGTTTTGATAGGGTCAAAGGTCAAATTTGACCTATTTTCAAAAAATCACAACTCCGGTTCAAATTATAGGAAAGAAAAAAATAAAACGAGAAAATGTACTAAATTGTGTTCGCTTTTTTGTAAAAATTGCAGAAATCACTTCGAACTAATTTTAAGGGGGGTCCCGGACCCCCAAATACGTCAATTCAAAGGTCATTCAATTTTCCCGCAAAATAAGCCAATTTCCCCTAGATTTGCCTCCACATTATCTCAGTAAGGTCAAAATCAGTTCAACATTACGTTCGGCAAGTCCCCAAATTTCAGGAAAAGTTAATAAAACGCAATTTAAACGGTCAAATTTAATTACCTTAAATTGCGTTTTTTTAACTTTTCCTGAAAGGGGACTTGCCGAACGTAATGTTGAACTGATTTTGACCTTACTGAGATAATGTGGAGGCAAATTTAGGGGAAATTGGCTTATTTTGCGGGAAAATTGAATGACCTTTGAATTGACGTATTTGGGGGCCCGGGACCCCCCTTAAAATTAGTTCGAAGTGATTTCTGCAATTTTTACAAAAAAGCGAACACAATTTAGTACATTTTCTCGTTTTATTTTTTTCTTTCCGATAATTTGAACCGGAGTTGTAATTTTTTGAAAATAGGTCAAATTTGACCTTTGACCCTATCAAAACTCGGTCAAAAATTAAGATATTGATCTGCGGTTTGCGCCAAAATTCTGAGTTTTTTATGCTGGTCTTTCAAATGAGGTATCACAAGATAGGGGTTGCCATTTGAAAAAAAAAAGTTGGGGGCCCCCCGCCCCCTTTCTTAGGGGGGACCAAAATTTTGACTCCCCCAAACGATGGTCCCCTTTGAGATAGGAACATTCCCAAAGTTTCATTTTTCTATCCCGAACCGTTAAAAAGTTAGCCGACCGTCCTGGAACTTCTGGCCCACCCTGTATTGTTACACGTGCCAAGGTAGCCAAATGGGTGAGAAAATAGGATAGAACATAACTTATAAGTATTTTTACACGTAGAATCTAATTTTCACGTCAGGGAGTCGACATATTTTCGCTCGCAAAACATTTTATATGCAAGTGAGTGTTTTTATAAATTCATTTTTAAAAGTTTTAAATTATAAATGTTTTAAATTTTTAAAATCTTAAAATTTTTTTCGACATATTTTGATTTTTTCGATTCTATACGGAAAATTCATAGAGTGCAATAGAGTCGCAAAGTACTGGATCGCCGATGAAGTCACTTTTGAAGGCTGTTTTGTCCAGTTCTCCGGAGACTAGTGTGCGGCGACTAGCGATAACGCATACGCAGAGACTCGCGCTTGGCGCTCCCCACTCCCGACTCGGCTCCGTTCGTCGGCTAGGTCCACACACATTTCAAAATTTCAAAAATGTCTTCAAAAACGTTTAAGAAGTCCATTTTTACTAAACATGATAATGCTAATATCACAATAATACAAAAAGAGAGGAAAGACAAATGGACTGCATTTTGCAATTTGGACCTAAGGACCCAGTATCCCCCCCCCCCTTGTGGCGGGCCTGAGTGTCCGTACCTAAGTACTTGACTTTCGGAAGCAAAAGTCTTTTCCTTAAACTAACTTCTTAACCAACCGTGCAGTTTATGTGTGACTTGATAATTTGCATTTTTCCGAGTTGGTGTGTTTTCGTTCTCACTGATTCAATTAAAAAATCCAAAAGTACAGTTTATTAAAGACGCAATGTTAGTCATTTGAGAATAGAAATAGAAAGGGCTGCCATCACACTAGCAGTCCTGACTGTGCGTACATTTATCCCGCAATCGTCATTCATTGTACAGTCTGACTGCTAAAGTGCGATGGCAGCTAAGCTCGTAAGAAATAAAAAAAAAAACCTTGAAAGTAAGATTCAGTTTTTTTAACTAAAGATATTGGTATTATTCGATGAATTCAGTTTATTTGTTTTTGTCCTCGAGAGAGATTTCCAAATTTTGTCACTGCTGCCGTCTTAAGTGAAAACGCCGTACGAGCCTTCAGACGTTGCCATACCTCTTTTTAAAAAATCACAAATTTACCGGGAAAGCTGTGAATGTTTCTCTGCGAATTTTTCGGACAATTTTGTTTACAATTTGATCTACAATATCTGGGAATGTCATGGAAAGATATGCAAAACTTTCCTCAAAAATAAATGTTTTATCCGGAGATATTTGGCAACTCTCAAATGCTCATACGGCGTTCTTCCTTAGCATGGCAGAATAGGGAATCGAGTCCGAGAAATCCAAATTCGATGGCCTTGGAGCCCCGGTGGCGGCAAGCCATCCTCTCCGCCAATCAGCGCAGCTCATTGACTCCAGCTAGCGGCTTTTATAGCCGTGTGACTGTTGCGAGCTACAGCCAATCAGCTGCGCTGATCGGCGGAGGGGGAGGCTTGCCGCCACCCCCTCGCCCGCTGGCAGGCCCCTCTCCTTCCTATTGGAAAGTAAAAGGGGGGTCCTATTTCAAAAGTCTGGGTCTACAGCATAACTTCAAAATTATTTCATCGGAGAAAACGGAAAATTTTAACCTAGATCGGTACCGAAAAGTTGGTCCTTTAGTGTCTGAAATAGTGACCCCTGGAGGTGGGGAATAGAACCCCCCTTTCAAAATATGTAAGTTCGCTAAATTAACGTACAGGCATGAAAGATTTTTTCATGGGTAAACCTGGCCTGAGGTAGAGATAAAATTCATTTCATCGACAAAAAACATGAATAGAAAAGAAGAGAATGTTTATTTTCATACCTATTGCGTGTAAAAATGACACTTTCGTAAAAATCATACAAATTCACAAAATTCGAAATAACAAAAAACCTGTAAGAAAATCCTAACAATTAATTTCTATCACAATTGCTTGAAAGTTGGGTAACAGAATATACATCATTCTGTGAATTGTCTCACAAAAATTTGATGAGAGCACTTAAAAATTCTTCTCAAATTTTTTCACGCGCTGAAATTTCGTTATCATTTTCAATACTTACAAAATGAATTCGAAGAGAAGTAACAAGAAAAACATCAATAGAAAGAACGTGACTATAAGTATTAACTCTTCAGGGAGACCTGTATACTTTCGACGACCTGAGCAAATCACATCAAGGGTGAAATTCACAAATCTTGGTTTACAACAGTTCTCAACTGATAAATTAAAGTATGACATGAAATCGGTGGCATTTCACCATCAAAATAGAATAATTCAGAACGGGGAAAAAAGGTGGTGATTTTTAAATTAAGTCTAGTTTGATCGTTGATTACAATTAATTTAAAAGTAACTATAACTCTAGCAATTACAGGGATGACTCACCAAGCTACCATCCCTTGTCGCTGAAATTCTCCACAAACCTCAGATCATTTCACGAGAAGCATAGTTAATTTTTACCTTCAAGGGTCTTGAGAGCAGCATCAGCAATTTATGCAATAAGCACATCCGATGAGCAATTTACGCTGCTTACACCATGGTTGGGTATTGGAGCTTGGTCAGCACTATAGTCTGAATTTCTGAGGTTAGTTGGTAAGCATTATATGTTTTCAAAATTTTCCATTGTCTTTATTTTACTACAAGGACATATTTCTGCCAAACGGAACTGTGTGCATTTTAATGTGAGCCTTGTTATGCATATATTCTTGCGGATCTCACAGCTCAAGGCTTAATGCACATGGTTCCGTTTGTCAGACATATGTTCATATTGCGGAATCTAAGTTTTGAAAAGAAACAGCGTATTATTTGTACATTAGAATATTGAGGCAGGACACATATTACAAAGATAGGGTCTAGGATTAATATTTCATTATAAGCTTTTATCCTGCCCAGTAAAACATGTACGAAAACCTTGTCACGCCGTAACAATGATATTTTTAAGACACAGCGTTGTGACAACGTTTTCGCACACGCTGTGCCAGACAGGTTAATATTTTTGTGCCCGAAAAGAAGAACTTAGCACTTTTTCTTTGCCTGGATCTTGGGACGGAATATCCTTACATGAAAAGTTCAAAATAAATAATCATACAACAAAATTAAGAAAATACATTAGACAAAGTAACAAGGTCGGACTTAAAGTGGAATTTGTAGGAAACTCAAGTTCCTAGCAGCAAATTGTGGAAACGAGGTGCTACACAATACAGTAAAGTCACACACAATTGAAAATCAAATAGGGAAGAAAGGTGATTTCTCTTGAAGTTTGGGGGTGGCAAAATCGAAAATACGGCTCTGCAAGGTATAGAAAACTATGCATTTCATTAGATTTCCAGAATCTACGGCAATATCAGTTTAATTGTCCTTATTGAAAGAGAGACTATGAAAAACTAGCTACATTATCCTCTTTCTAACTGATTTTTGTTTTACCTACCTCGCTCCTTACAAAAAGTCTTCAATTTTTATTTGGAATTAAAGAGAAAAGACTTTGAAGAAAGAAAGGAATGTACCTAAATTGTAAGGAAGATTGCACTGGGTTGGAAGCAATTTGAGGGGAAAGAGCGAAACAAGTTCCACACAGGTTTCAGAGGGGTTTCTGAAAGCCTTGAATTTTTGTTCATTACTTTGGCACTCATTTCTAAAAGTTAATAATAAAAAGGAAAATTCAAGAGAACTAAGAACTCTACTTTCGATGAATTTATCCAAAAAGAAAAAACTTCACCCAAGAACTATTTTTGACACTTTCATTCAAAGTTATCCAAATCAAACTGTTCATCAATTTGATTCAGCCAAGGGCAAACAGGAAAGTGTTGAACAAGTAATAGCAATAAATCGAAACGATGACATTTTGTGCAAAAATTACCGTCAGTTTGTTTTTTTATCATCTTGTTTACCATCTTGCTTTGTGTCTTCTTCTTCGATAAAAGTGACAGGAACTACACAATTACTAGGAAACCATCCTTTTATTCTTTTATTTCCTTGCGTTGAGACTTCACCAAATAACCAGTATCTAAAATCAAATTAAGAGAATCAATTTGAAACAAGTCGCAGCGCAATGAAAAAACACTAATATGTATACTGTATTCTTTAACAAGAAGGGATATAATATACTAGACCAATAAAATTAAAACTTCAAAATTTAGGTTCATTGAAATGCGATAGAAGTCACTTCAACTTTGCAGGCTGGTAACAAGAAGGTACATAATGCATGTGAAGAGCTTTTGAAATACTTTTGAAAAATGGTCTTACTGACATTTTTAACGAATTGGATTTGGTCAGATTCCCGACCTACTCCTTATGACATGGAGTGGGCTATCAGACAAGAGTGTTTGAAGAAGCAAGATAAAATAGAACATTATATTTTGATCTCATACAATAAAATCAGAGGACTTTTGTCTCATCCGACAGTGACTGACACTTTGTCCAGAAAGAGACAAAATTAAACAGTGGTAAAAAGGAGGCTGCGGGCCAATTATTGAAATTGATAGACAAAACTATAGGCAAAGAAGACAAAAGGGATATGTAGGGATCTTATTGGTGAAAACGGGTGGTTGCAATGGACAAAGGAGGTAGGTGATAGACTAGCTAACGGCAACCGGCGTAATACTTTGTCCATCATTTTCTCCTTAATTCTATAGGAACCACCCATTTCAACCAATAGAATCGCTCCATACTCCCTGGTCTTGTTTGTCTATTGCTTTGTCCTTCAAATTCAAGAAACATCCCGCTGGTCTAATAGCAGAGGTCTTCATAACTTTTTTACTTGTCATCCAGCCTTTTGACAATAATGTCCTTATGTACAGCGAGTCAAGTCACAAAGAAGACTCAATCAATTTAGAGAAATCAGACTTACTTTTTCCACCGGGTAACAGATACTGTTTGTCCCACTTCTAAAGGAATTCTTGCCTCATCCGAGAACGGAGGCCTACAGAGAGTACACACACCATGGCGACACGGGAACCAACTTCCATCAAATTTTTTGAGAACAGTGTATGGTCTAGTGTGCAGCCTTTTGATTATCTTTTGTCTCTGTTGTTCAACCTATGGCATTAACAACATGGACATGGAATGTTGGAATTAAACTAAAAAATGTACATAATAGCAACAGGAAATCTAAAGTAGGGAGGAATTGAGCTCGGGAGGAATAGGTCTGCAGATAGTAGATTTCTACAGACTTTGGCCTAAAAAAAAGCTATGCAAATGGTAAAATCATGCAAAAAATTATCCCTGCAGAGAAACAGCGCTTCCTTCCGCGGAGTCCGCTATGAGCAATGCTAAATACAGCTGTGTGACAGATTCTACCATCATGTTGATTGTGCCTCTCAAATCCAAAAACAACGAGTGCTTGGTTGAAATATTGTTTTTGGCTACCCTATTTTTCTGCACTTTTGAGTGAACTTTTTGCCCGAAAGCCATCATCAATAAAAGTTGGGAGGAAAAAAGTAAAAAAATGATTCAACTGACTTAATTATTTTGAACTTACTGTTAATGTGTACTGATCACATCCTTCCAAAACAGGCCAATGAATTCCGTCCCCAACAGGTTCACACTTCCAGTTAATGACCTGTTTATAACATTAAAATCTTATTTTAATTTCTGGAACAAAAACCTATGTAGCAGGCGGTTATTTTTCCTAACTAAGGCTACTAAGAGGTAACTTCTTTGATAGCTACAAATTTTGAGGAAAACAGACAAAAAGAAAAACAATGCATTACATACTTAAAATGTGAAAGTCCTGTGTTCTTTAAAAAACCCAATTGCACAGTTCACGATACGACTGTTGATCAACCGAATGCAAATTCACCAGGATTTCCTTCTTAGCTCTTCATTTCAGTTCTATAAAAATCCTCCTTAATAAGGACTGAACCACTTATCTGTGGCAAAAATGACCCCAGATCCAAATTAAAGTGTATCCTGTCGACAGATCAAAAGTTTTTTTAAAATTCTGATGTTGAATTTTCTGCTTAACTTACAAATATGTCAATAAAAGTGGCAACTATTGCTAACATTTTGATCAGATTGTAAATTTGTACCTAAAACACACCCTCAGAAAATATGCATGCTTCCTGAACTCACTTTTTTAATTTTCTGTGAGGATCAGAACAACTTACTTGAAGGAAATTTTTCTTCATGCCCAAATCATACGGGTAGATGAAAGGAGGGTCTTTTTTATCGCGTCGCCTATGTTTCGCTTTGTCACAAATCCATTCTTCAATCCCAGTGCGATTAGTCAAAATTGTTCGAAGCTGAAAAAAAAAATTGATGTGATACTTATTTAATGTAATGAGATGTTTTACGAATAATTCCTTGGTTGGGTGAACGGAAAAGATAATATTAAAACAAGTTTAAAACTGCATTAAACTAGAAAAGCAAATATAGCAAGGGCTCTAAATAAATCTAAATAATAAAAAAAACATAGGTATAGATCGACAAACAACAACATTTTTTTTAAAAAGATAAATCAATAAATTGTTTCTTTTTATGATTTCACTCATGAAAGTCTGGATTAGAGCTAAGAGCTTGAAACAATAAAAAAATTAAAAGTATGTAAATTTGCAAGAGAAGGATGGCTAAGGACTGTTTATTGCTTGTTTATTTCTGTGTGTGGGGCCAGCTGATTAATACAAATATGGGTTTCTGCATGACTGCCTCTTATGATCGCATATCTTTGCATTCTAAGATTTAATAAAGCAAAGGAAATCAAATAATCATCCTACTAATTTAATGAAGTTTGATTGTTTTTTAGATCAGGCATACTTCAAGTTCTCTCAGAACGAGACAAGTTTGAATTCATGCTCAAAATAGATTCTAACATTGATTCTGCACAGCTCTGAATATTCTTTTTGATGCCTCATTGTGATTTATTTGATGAAATAAATTGATGTTTCTCTTTTGGTGTTCTATACGATCAATTGCAGGTCTCAGAAATCGTCATTTACCTTACAAAAGAACGAAACTACATTTCAATGTTGCCAAAATTCCCTTTGCGAATTTACTTTTTACTAGGAGAATCTTGGGAGTCCCTAAATGAAAATTTCACAAATTTTTCCTGTAATTTCATGCAAGAATCAGGAAAATTTTCAAAGAAAATTGCGCAGGTGCACTCTTGTAAAAGATTGAATTGCTTGAGTCAAATTCACAAACTTGGAGCGGAGTAGCGTTCCGTCATTGAGGAAAGGACAGCATTCAGATGCCATTTGTTACGGTCTTCATAGTCGTAAAATAACTTAAAAATTAGATTCAACGAAATTAATATTATGTTTCCTCACCTGGAATTGAAGTAACATTCCTACTGCCAGCACGACACCAATTGAAAGTCCTAAGGAAAATACTCCAAACAGCAAATTCATCATTGTAAGTTCCATCACAGGCTCTGATGGTCGATACAACAAATACCACCGCTGAAAAGAGAGTTCAGATATTAGTTACTATTTTTTCTCTCAAATTAATCTCCTCTATCTTTCGACTTGGTATAACAATGATGAAACCCCAGGGGCTTGTTCCTCATTTACAATGTTTATAAATACTCTCATTTTATTTTATCAAATTAGAACAAACCAACGCTACTGCTTGAAATTTTCACAGAATATTTTTCACCAGTACAGAGAAATTAGCATGGTTTTCAAGAGATGATGTTTCGTATTTTTTCATTTAAATAACAAATTAGGTATGACAGAGAGTTGGTAGCATTGCAAACTGATACATTCTTCAGCAGTTTCACAATAGATAAGTAAAATTGAAATTTATTTATTTCATTAAGTGTTATTTCAGCATTATTAGAATTACATGATAATTCCCTGCTTTTTGAGACAAACTGGACCAAATTCGATTTAATCATGTAACATTTGATATTGTGTAGCTGGCACCTCCCGTATTCTCATAAGAAAAGCTTACAAAATTGCATGGGTACTCTAGGTCAAATTGTTACAAAATGATTTGCAAGTAAGAGGGGTTGAATACCTCAAAGGGACTCCAGTTTTTAGTGCCATTCTTAACTACTGTTCATAAGTTATTCCCTGACATTCCCTTCATCTCCAATTCAAAGCAAAAGAAAAATGTTCACTTACACCAATGCTTCTGAACGGACTTACTGGAATATTGTACAGCACTTGGTCCAGCTAATAAAGTAATAGATAGTTTTAAAATCAATGGATTTGTAGAAAATGAGATTCTAGCTGCACTTGAGGGCAGGCAAGCTTTATTTGATAATATGTGTGTTAAATATTTTTCTAATCCTGTAGCTGTACTTGACTAGTATTGAATTAAGAATGAATACAAATACAAGATGACAGCCTAAAATCTTACCCGATTCAGACCCTTGTAGATGGAGATAACAAGAAGAACTGTCGAGTGAAAACAACCACAGACAGCAAAGAACAAGAATAAAGTGAAATGAGCATGGTTAGCGTAACCAACACAATTATTGATCCATGGACAGTGATGATCCATTTTCAAGACACACCTAGCACCTGCAACAAATGAACAATTTACAAAAGGGCCCAAATTATTCAAAATAATAGTCGACATTATAGCAACAGGGCTATTATCTTCAAACGAGCATTTATTACTTATTCATTAGATAACTTAAATTTGTAGATAAAACTAAAAATTAAAACTAAAAAAAAAATAAAATTGCTTACATTTTCTACAATGGTGGGACCTGGGAGCTTTGAAACCATCACATGCTTCACAATACTGTAGGAACTGTTCATCCCTTGGAGATTCCTATAAGCAGACAATGAGACAATGAGACAAATTATGCAAGAAAACAAAAGACAGCAAGTCACAAAAGAGGGACCAGTGTGAAAATTTCTTGTAACATAAGTTGCATCTTCATTTAAACCAGCACTTTTGAATAAAGACTTTTCCCCATGTTTTCATTTTTTTATAACACTTTTCAAATAATTCTAAGGGGCTAGTTCAACGCTAAAAAACATATTAAAGAAAGAAAAAAATAAATAAATAGAACAAGAAAATAAAAAAGAGCAAAAAAATTGAGAGAGTCAAAAAATAAAAAGATCAAAAAATCAAAAAGAGCAAAAAAATAAAAGGAACAAATAAATAAAATAAAATAAAGAATAAAAAAACGAGAATTTGAAAAAAAACAAGTTTGCGAAAAAAGACAGGTAAGTTAAAAAAAAAAGAAAAAAATTAAAAAAGGTTTTGAATGGCTAAGCTCATGAAGTTATGGCTGCTGTAGTCTTTCACACTTTTGTATTGATCTTAATTTGCAAATGAGAGAGAGACAAATTTGATAATCTTACAGGTTTCCATTTGAGAGGTAGAAATCCTGGACCTTCGATGACAGCATTCAGAAAGTTGTAGAAAGCCAGACCACTGAATATTAAGAAACAAGAGATATTTAAGAATCCACTCAGTGAACCAGTTGGTGGCCACCACATTCTGGTGCAGTAGAATGTTGTGAACGTAATTAACTTAATGATACCTGAAATTGAGGAAGGAAAAAAATCAAATTATACCAAATTAGTGTTTTTGAAATGCTCTGACATTCATCTCAAGAATTAAATTAAATTTAAAGATGAAAATGACTTCAGATGACATCAGTCTTGCTCATCTGTTGTACCAAAAATTCAAAAGTAGAAGACCTCCACAGACGGTGATGCTGTATTTTCGAATAGATAGCCACTGGACATTGAAAATTACACAAATACCTAAGTAATTAAAGCCCACAATAGGAAAATGATAAGACAGGGTGAGAATACAGAGTAAACTAATCGTTGTATTCTCTGCGTTACAATCTACATTCCTTAAAAACTGATGAGCAAAATTTTAAGTCCCGTCTGAATTTTCTTGTCAACGTAACTGGCCCAGCTGTGCTAAACAGATTAGAAAGTTTAGGGGGAGGAAAAGGCTAAGTAGGCTGCTAAAGGAGATCACACGCTGGACTATACAGTTTTTGGAGATGTTCATCACAAGCAAGTACAACATATAATTTTTGACCAAAAGTTCAAATACAGAACCCTCAAAATTTTAGAAAAATACCTACTTATTTCTTGGTTAAGCGAATCACTAACAAATATTTTTTTTCGCTCTTTGACAGTGAAAATTTGCAATTCCTTTCAAAGAACTCACTAGACTCCTGCATTGGATTTTTGAGGGCAATCAATGCCGAGGTCGATAGACCTAGATCAGTCTGTTGGCAAGATATTCTTTGGAATTTCCCTATGTGGCAACGGACTTTCCACTTTGCTGTTTCACTCCAAACGCTTCCCCGATTTGCTTTTGCTCTGCCCCGTTGCCAGTTCCTCCGCGATCTGCGTAAGACCAACATAATAGGATCGGGGGAACAGTGGAGTGGGACAAGCAAATCAGGAGAATCTGTTGGCAACGTAGACATCCCCCACCCCCGATTCCCAGAGATTATTACACTCAATTTTTCTAACGGACTAACCTACGTCTATTGACATGATCAGTGCAAGGCAACATGTAATAAAAGCTCTGCACGTGGTAAGTCTGCAAAGACTTCTTAGAAAGAAATCTTAGAGGAGGTCATAGTTCTTCTCTCCTGTGCATCTCCAGAAAAAAGGAGAAAAATTATAAGATTGTCCACTAAACTTTTTCATGTATGCTAAAGGGCTTTTCTTTTATCCGAGGAATGCATGGAACGCAATGGTAGCGGTTCGGGCTGTTTCAATCCGCCTAACCGCAGACTGAACCAACCTCAATCCACCTCGGAGGAGCAGTCCAAGCGTTTCATCGGAACACGCCAGTGGAAGAGGATAAATAGTGATGCGTTCCATTGCAATCGTCTGCAGTTCGGACAAAAAAAAAGCCCTCTTAGTGCTCAGTAATAAATGTGAGCACTTCTTGGAGGTTACATCTATGGTTACGCTCTTACTTACATATCACAGCGATTGGACCCCAATGTCCCAGCTTACTGAAAGGGCCAACACACATCTTGAAAAATTTTAAGTGGTTTGCTGGAGACTTCAGCGCCGGAAAAATTGCGAAGGCAAGCAACTAACTGAATACTAAAAACCGAATCATTACGGATCGGATAATGCTACATCGGGTTGTGATGCTTCCACAGTGAAAACGATGGTGAAAGGTTAACTTTAAGCGCACAATTTGATGGTTTCATTGTGAAACTAATTGAGCTATCTAAATCATGCTGAAACCGGAGGTAAGTTACACAAAAAATAAGAATAAAAGAGACAGAGAAAGTGAGTACACCTGAGGAACATTACTTTCAGTTTCTGTTTACAAACAAATCATTCTTATCATGATGTCATGATGGTGTGGTGCCTCGCCTCGCAGACATGAAGGTGTGAGGTGACGTCATCTCAATAGAGAACGAAGGGAACACGGTAGATGCGGGTTGCGGGTTCATCCAAAATCGAGCATGTGACCCGGGTTGCGTCTCTCGTAATAGAAGGCAAAATTACGTGTCTCAACAATTGAACCGAGTGTAAAATGTGCGGCTCCTTCGATGCACTCACACAAAACGTACATTTCCATACATTCAAAATTTTAAAGGCCGCTGCAAGAGGAGTAGCAAAAAAATAGTCCTGGTGGTCTGGATGGTGGACGCATTCTCGGCATTCAAGACCAGGCCCGCCACATCCCATCTCGGGCCCTGGTACCAGTTTTAAGGTGCGGGCCCCAAGCACGGAGGGGGGGTGGGGTTTGGAGGAGCATCCCCCGAGAAATTTTAGAATTTATACGACTAATCGGACGCATTTTGAAGCTTCCATAAAGAATTTTTCCATTAATTTCTGCGGAATAATTATGTTTTTTTTTTTTTTTTTTTTTTTTTTTTTTTTTTTTTTTTTTTTTTTTTCTACTTTCAGCACAAAATACTTGCAAATTGTTGCATTCAAAAACATCTGGAACATTTGTATTTATTTATTTATTTTTTTTTTGGGGGGGGGGGGGCATATGATACTATTTTCAGTTCTAAGGGGGCCAGGCCCCCTTGGACTCCCCCTTCGTTTGTCTATATGGCAAGGGAGTTGGGCCATGAGCCATTGAAGTCGAGGATGCCTAGACTGGAGACTCTTAGCATCTGACGACGGAAGAAAATGAAACGTAGTAACAAAAAATATCCCTCTGTGCTGCAAATCTTGAGAATGGATATAACTTTTCCAAACTTCTTTGAAAATTTAAGAAGAATTCTACAGTGCCCCAGCGTGTTTCTGAAAATCTATTCACCTTTTGCGAAATTTTTAGGGTAAATTTTTCACTTTTTCTTACGAAACAAGGGTTCCATGTGAATTCGTAGTGGTTTTTCACAGAAAACATGGACCCCCTCCAGGGCCCGGGCCCTGGTACCACGGATCCAGTATCCCACCCTTGTGGCGGGCCTGCCTTCATGCACGCTGGGCTTGTCGATTTCCTTTGACATTTTTGCAGTAGTGAATGCATAGCTGAAGTGCGCTACAGCTAGAATTGGACGTATTTCTGCGAAACAGAACTATGTGCATTATGGCGTGAGCCCTGTTATGCACATATTCTTATGGGTCTCAGGACTCATGTCTTAATGTACATAGTTCCGTTTGGCAGAAATGCGTCCAATTGTATTTAGCAAATGGGTGGTTTTTGTAGGAGGATTATAAATAAACAAGTGGCACGGAATATATCAAAAGAATATGAACTATGCAAAACGATAATCCGGGTACCGGAACTTGGCTGTTTTGAAAACGCCTTCAAATGCGGCGTGATACCTCACGCATTCCGGAGAGTTTAAATAGTTGTATCATTGCGCCGTAAGAATGTGACGAAAGATTTAAATGGAGAAAGCCTTCATGCACGCTGGGCTTGTCGATCTCCTCTGGAATTTTTGCAGTGGTGAATGCATAGCTGAGGTGCGCTCCAGCTAGAATTGTACTTAGCAAATGGGTGGATTTTCTACGGGGATCAAAAATAAACGAGTGGTACGGAATAAAACAAAATAACATGAACTATGCAAAACGATAGTCCGGGTATCGGAACTTGGCTGTTTTGAAAACGCCTTCAAATGCGGCGTGATACCTCACGCATTCCGGTGAGTTCAAATATTTGTATCGTTGCGCCGTATGAATATGACGGAAGATTTAAATGGAAATAGCCTTCATGATCAAGACTGTAATTTTGTAGGTCATTTTCAGGGGAAAAGACGGCTTTTCCTTCGCAAACAGGTTTGAATCCCACATTTTCTCTCTATGAAATTTCTGGCTTTGACTTTCAACTTTTTTTTATTTTTATTTTTTTTTATTTATTTTTATTTTATATGTTTTATTTTCTTTACTCGGAAGGGGGAACACCTCCGGTAAGTATTACTGACGGGCCACAGGCCAAAGTCAGTAATACACACTATCTTGCTAAAATGAAAAGTAAATTTTATTTTAAAGCAAAATTAAAAAAAATTAATCGATTTTAAGAAACGACCTGACAATACTTGACTCGCTTGTGACGACGGACTTCTGCATTGAATGAAGCAGGTAACTCTCTATTCCAAGGTCTCGAGGATGTTTAACGAAACATTTTGGAGCTATCCCCGCTGCCGACATTATAAGGGACTCGATGCAAACAATGTCCAGACTCCATAATCGCTTCATTTCCGCAGCTAAAGGCAGATATTTTGCCATCTTTTCTTGATACTTTAACTCCAAGTTATGATTATTAGGGATGCTAATATCGATGATGTAGAGTATCTATGTAAGATTTCAATAGAGTCAGGGTCGGACTGGCTCGCATCTTTTTTGGCGCGTATACGTAGTATACCGCCTTTGCGATCGTTTCGACCCCCCCCTCGATACAATAACCGAGTCCCCTAGTTCCTTACCGAAAAGTGACTACCGCGAACTTCTGAGATTTTCCAAAGCGTGTAAAAAGTTTA